GGTAGCGGCTTGACGTGTTGTCTGCTTTCATTTCCACTTTCTGCCCCCACCCCCTCACCTCCTTTGCCCACTCTTTTGGGCTCCTGACTCTTTCTGCAGCCTTTCTACTGCTACTCCTTGGCTCCTCCTTACTGCTGTCTTTCTGCCACACCCCTGATCTTCTGGTAGGAAAGATCTACACCTAGCCTTCTCGGACAAAGGCGAAAAATCTCGGAGGGCCCGTGTGCAAGTTGCGCACGTTAAAGATCCCTTGGTGGTCTAAAATCGATAAGAGTAGGCTTCGGCCGCCACCCGGGCAAAATTCAAAATTTCCTACCAACTGAATATATTAGGTGTGTCCCGCGCACTCATATGACCTCATTATGCAGTTGCGAGCGCCGTAAAACACTTTAAAAAACAAACAAAAGTAACTGGGTCTGTGTAATCCAGTAGCATTCCTGCACACCATGAAATCGTTATGGGAAGTGCAGATTCCCGTGTCCTAAAACTCTTACTGGCTGTAATGGTAAAAGACAGTTAGATTATCTATACTCGAAGTACGAGTTATTTGTTGTTGTTTCTTTTGTTTTTGCTTTGTTGTTTTTGTTTGTTTTTTTTGCTTTTTTGTATTTGTTTGTTTGTTTGTTTATTTCTATTTGTTATTTGTTTGCCTCTGTATTTGTTTATTTGTTTATTTGTTGATGTTGCTCTGTTTAAGGAGACCTAAAGATTACATAAAATAAACAGAGGTTAAACTAGGTTATGTTGAGAGAAAGCAGTGTGGGGCAGTCACTAGTTAAATACGAACAGTAAATTGTGGAGAGCCTTTTGCAATTGGTGGTGCCCTTAATCTGGCGCTTAGACAGGCTATCAGGCTCGTAAGCTTGAGATTGTAAGATCAGGGGTTCGAGCCTAAGCTTGGCATGACGCCCTGTCCTTGGGAAAGGCACTTTAATCGAATGTTCTCTTTTGGCTCGGTCCTATCAGAGTAGACCGGACATTATACATGTACATGTATTCGGAAGTTCCGCCTCTAAAATAACTTTACTGGGTTGTAAAAGGCGATACACCT